AGTAACTCCCCAGCTGTGCTTTGAAAACGCGGGTTAGACTCCTCCAATGTTCGGTGTGTTGTTGACAATGAGAAGAACTGAACCTATAAGACTGAAAATTTAGTTAGATAATGTCAAACTACTGGTATTCACATCATACTTTATCCAATGAACAGTCTTTCTGACCTATAGGTGTGCAGCCTGACCAATCAGACTGGTTTCTGTAAAGCTAGCTCTGTGGCTGGCCAGCTGCAACATGACATCACTTCCCAGATATCCCTCCATGTGATTGTGGACAGCTGTTTGTAATTGTAAGAATGGCTTTCAATGGATATTATGTAAAGTGAAAGGCAATGATGACCACCACAGGCTTTGGTGTAAAAAAAGGAGAGCTCACCTGACTCTAGCCACACCTCAAACTGGAGCCACAGTAGCAGAGCACTGTTGGTTTTAAAGTATTTCCAGTAGCACAAGGTCACTTATGCAATCTTATCACCCTGTAAAGTAACAGGAGCCAGGCTTTAATTAGATCTGCAGCTCGTTTCTGCTGTGATTGTAAGATCTTCCTTATCAACTCAGGAGGCATTCATGAGGTTACAGCTTTGCAGTGACCTGTATTTCTACCTTCCTCAGCTGCTTCAGTGGTTTTTAAAATCCTATGTGGATCATTTGGTTGCAGCACTCAGAAGCTCCCTTCACTCACAAAGTTGCAACAGACGGTCGCCCCTCCCACAGCCTGGTTCTGCCACAGGTTTCTTCCTGTTAAAAGGGAGTTTTTCCTTCCCACTGTCACCAAAGTGCTTGTTCATAGAAGATTGTTTGATTGTTGGGGTTTTTTGGATTATTGTCAATTATTTACCTTACACTATTAAGCACCTTGAAGGCATTAGTGTTGTGATTTGCTTCTATATAAATAAACAGAAATGTATTAAATCGACAGCTATACAAAGATATGAACTAATTACAGTTGCATATAACATAACAAAACCCTCTGAGACCTCTATCTCATCAACATGATCAATACCTGCCATCATTTCAACATGTTATGGACAAAACTCTTTTTTTGTATAAAATTAACAGTGTTGTTAACAAAAAGTTGCCAAAAATGGCCAATGCATCAAATGCAATACAAAAAAAAAAAAGATATATCATCAAAATATATCATACAAAAAATGATACAGCAAAAAAAAAAATGTGGATTTTGTTCTAAGGGTTAATAAACATCTGAGTTCCCAAAAAATCTGAATTCTCTGGCTATTTTTGATGGGTTGGGTCTTACAGGATTGAGATGAATTCATAAATGTTACATAAATATATGTAAAGGTTTTTCAGGAGAACGCTGAGATAAATCGGAATGTTCAGAAGTTTCAGCTTTTAAACTATATTTACTTTAAGTATTAACTTTAAGTGTCACATACTCAGTGAACCTCACAATCTCAGATATTGTCTTTTATTTTCTTTATCTAAGGAAACTGGGGAGGAGTGTGTTCAAAGCCTGCGACCCTCAAAAACGGTGTTAACTGCACCCTGAACACAGGTCTGGTCACAATTCAGAACTACGGACAGTTTCTGCCTCCTCGACGAGTCCAGCTGACTTTGGCACACGAGCTCGGCCACAGCCTTGGATCTCCGGTCAGTCACCACGAAAAACACCAGCAAAAAAAACAAAACATGATTACAATTCAACCATACAACTTATATAAAGATTTTTTCATATATGTCGGAACTTGTTGATGTCAGTTGTGGTTTAAATTATATCTAGAAGGTCGAACAGGAGGCCTTTTGTAGATATTGCAGCTGCAGACAGAGCAAGTTGTATTCAGTTGTATTTATTAAGTTGTATTTATCTGAGTGTACTGATAGCATTTCAACATCTTACCTTTAAAAAGTACATCTCAATCTTCTGTGCTGCTATATCTCCATGGTGCAGCTAGCGTATGTTGCTAATTTCCAGAACTACTGCAAGGCTCCACGACCACAATTTCATGTTCATGTAAATCAAATTGTGGGTTATTAGACAGATGGTGCTTTTGTTGAGAGACAGTAATGACTTAGCATTAGCCTAGCTTTAGTGACAACAGTGCTCCATGCACCAAAATAAGGCCAGGTGATTTCTGACTGAAGGATTACCTGTATTGGAATCAGTCTTACTCATGGTTAAAAACTCTATTGAAATGAAAGCCAGATTGCTCAGCACCAAGAAAACAAAATCAAATATATCATGCCTTTTCTTTTCTTTTTTTTAGTGCAGCCAAATCTGCTGCTGTTTCTGTTTGTTGTACTAATGAGTGACGGTAAAACGTGAGGAGACTTTTCATTCGATTCGCACGTTTCATGCACTGTAAAAACGATAACTAGCAATTGTTGATTTCACTAAAGTTTTTAAATTAAACTGACTTAGAAATAAAACTTTCCATTTACAACCTAAAAAAGCTTGTCTACCCAACAAATTTCTTTCATTGTTGTCCTAACTAAGATTTTCTAGACAGCATAACAAAGATTATCAACTTTTGAGCAGAGTTTCTGAGTCAAGTTGGGAACCAGTGGGAAACCCCGTAGATGACTGGCACATGTGGTCTGAACAAGTTTGAACTAAACCAAACGGACTTTCAACTGAGCCTGAGCAGACCTGAGCTGTGTGATAGTGGTTTACCATGTGTTCTAGACTAAAAACCTCCTAAGAAAATTTGAACCATCGTGGCTAGATTTGGATGTAAAATGCAATTTTTCGACCATTGAGGATTTTCACTTCTGCAGTTTTGGACAGGTGCTGGAGCTGCCGACCATTTACCCTAGCAGGTAAGCTAACTACATGTGTTATTAAGATTTTCTACAAGCGCCTAGGCTGCATCCTCCTGAGGACCCGGGAGGATGGAACTAGTAAAACACTGAAAAAGGCCAACTATAGCATTTTTAAGTTATCTAAGTGACTTAATTGACCTCCCCCCCCCCGGCTAGCTATCGAGCTGGTGGGTAACAGACGTCTCCGAAAGCGTCGGAGCACTTTTGCAAGTATATGTTGTCTTAATAAACTGAACAGATATTAGCAATTTACACAGCTACATTAACGCCTGAAAATATCTTAAAAGTTTATTTTGTGACCCAGAAAGAGTAATATTAAAACTAATTCCACAGATAGAATTTGCACATGCGCAATAAGGATCGGGGAGTCCGATCCGTAACTTTTTTTCTCTCGTTTTTTTTCTACATTATATTGAAATGTTTCAATATTGCAAACATTTTAAGAGATGCTTATTATAAGGAGGACTTATTTCTCGGACAAATTTAGAGGAGTCCACTATGAATTTGGGCAGCCTTCGTCGCGCCGCTGTGTCGTAATCGGGCTACAAGCAGCCTCTGAAGGTTTTAGCTCAGAGAAAGACTTCAGTAGATTCATTGCTGGACATCTCTATAATGACTTTACTGTGAAATGGGAAAATGTTGTATTTTGTTTCTTTCGAAGGCAAAAAAAAAGAAGATGTTTACTTTATAATAAACTTATTAGTTATCTTAGCTAAATTTTATTTTCACAAATGCAAATACAGTAACAAAAAACCTAATTTTAAACATTACTATAATGATGTTTTATGTTACATAAAATTGATTAGTGGATCACTTAACAAAAAGGCTATGAAAACTATTACCATTTGTAGTAATTACAAATTATTTGAATGTATGTAATTCTTTGTATTACACCCCCTGGCATATGTTAATTTTGTTCTGATTGTATACATGTTCTGTATACTGTTTCTTAATAAAGTTTAATATTTTTAAAAAAAAAAAAAAAAGGTTTTAGCTCAGAGTAGTGGCCAGCGCAAAAAGTAATGTTTAATGTTAAACACTCTGAAATTCAGACAGACATCACTAAATGACGGTATCTCACACTGGCTTTTTACAGCACTTCTGCCATGGTAAAACTTATTAGCTTATTACCCGTTTTGTAACCAGTTTCAATGTTATCTTTGCATGAAAACGTTATGTTAACCTTGACAACAAACTGGGCCAAGCACGCGTTGTCATGGAGACGCTTTCATGGGTCGGTGTAGGATATGTGCGCCAATTATATGACAGTGATATAAGTAACTTGCATATTGTCTAATATTGTTTTTTCACTTTTTCAATAGTCACTGTTTATCCGGTGCAGCACTGTTACTTTAAAGTAATGTTTAAAGCTGACTTGACAGTTTGTCAGCTGGTGTAAGATTGCCTAATGTACTGTAAGTTAATGTCACACGCAAATTAAAGTTGTACTTCATGCTCTGTATTATAAGATTGCTACATTTTCAGAGCTTTTTACATAATGGGGAAGGAGACAATATTAAAGGAATGATTGTGTGTTGTTGATGTATACTGTGTTACAGATAGTATTAATTTTTCTATAGTTATTGCATTTTTTTATCATAGTAACAAAAAAATGTTTGAATTCAAGCTTGCATTTATGTTACATGTCATGTATGTTATCAATCATATACTTGATATAGTAGACAAGTGGTCATATGTAAGTTAATATGATTCCTTACATATTTTTTTCATGTCTCTGGTTTTGGCTTGTTGATGTATTCAGCTCCTGCATCTATGGATTCCTTCTGTGTGTTAGATATGGATGTTTTATCCCATTGCAAAAGTGCTTTTGGCAAAATTGACTATGTCTCTTGTGTTTCAGGGGTGGATTTCATGCAGTGCCGATTTTGCAAATTCACAAGCTCCAGTCAAGAGACTCTTTTGAAACATTTCCGCCTTCATCACGGACAAGGTGCACATTGGCCATGCATTCACACAGACTTTGTATGTGTATTTAAAACACCTGGAGCATTACGATCACACCTCTCAAGGTCACACTCAATAGTAAAAATCCACAAAAATTCCACATTTCAGTGTGAACATAATATGTATTTGCATATTGATACTGTTTTTTGTGGAGGGTGTTTCTATTCCTGTGCAAAATGTGTATTCATGAGAGATTTTTGAAGTAGGTTTTGCGGTTGATAACACAGTCAGGCATATAACATGGTGCAGACTGTACAAGGCAGCTACCCAGAAATTTTCTGTGCTGAATAAATGGCAATATTTTGGTTATTGTCTTGTTTAGATATCTGAAGAATTTCATCGGATCACAAGCAAAGACCTCCTGGGGACGTTCAATGCATCCCTGGACAAATTTGTGCCTGGCCTGCTGAAACTATACCGGTCTAAGAAGGGAGCTCTTGGTGAGGAGATGGAAGACATCTTGGATAAACTTGATGAACAGGTAAGTGCTCCTTTACCTGACATTTTTAGAAGAGAGTATACCTTTGTCATAACAGAAAAAAATGTTGGCTTCAGCCAAAACACATCAATGGAAATGAATGTCATCAGTCATTACTTTGTTTTTATTTGGCGGTATTTTATTTAATTTGTAAAAAGAAAGTAAAATTGTTAAAATGGTGTTTTGTTTTTTTAAGTTTTACATGTTGCTGGGCCTGATCTGTATTTTATTTTCATTATTATAAGAGTTCTGATTTTGCATTGTGTGTAGGTACACCACGTTACTATACTAATTTAAATGCTTGTTTTCCACTGAATACTCTTTAGACATCTGACATTGTGTCCCACCAAAAGACAGCAGCACTGAGAGGCCTGCCCATTTTCCTCGGAGAGGATGCAACACAGGTTTTCCTGAAGTGCTTAGTAAGTACAAAAAAGTAATGCAAGAAAAACTAGTTGCTATGAGATGTTTTTAAAAGATGATTTAATCCAAAATGGAAATGTACACTTCCTCAGTGCAGTCCAGATAATTTTATGGTGAGGATTGCAGTTGTCATAACTCTCGCTGCTTTTTTTTCTGCTGAGGAGCACCTGGGCATTGTTAGTGGGTGTTCAACAGCAGAAAATATTTTTGTACAAAACTCATCACAAGGTTGGTTGGTGAAAGATATTGTGCTGTTAATTAAAGGAAAATAAGCTTTTTCTTTTTAAAACCTCCATGAGTCAAATGAGCATCATGGTATAGAGGTTAAAGTTAAGATCTTTAGAAATGTATTTTGTCTTTAATTTTTCTTAGCTTTCAATAATTCATATTTTACTTTTCTTCTCTTCAGGACACTGACATTTTGGAACCAGTGTTGAACGGTGCATCAGTTGCCATCCTCACCATCCTGCAAGATGACGATGCCGATAGTTCTGTGTGAGAACATGCTGTTGTGTTGGAAGGGGACATCGTGCTACATAACATTCCAGACCTCTCTACTGCCTTGGCATACCTCTTTGGCCTTCTGTATGCCCTCAACATTGATTATCCAAAGCAGATGAGTTTACCTTTGAAGCAATTCAGGGTATCTTTTTTGAACTCGGTGGCTCTCGATGCTCACAGCGCATAAGGTCTCTAAAAACAAAGCTTTTGCTGTGACTGTTAACGGGGAAGCCAGACATGAGTTTAACTTGTTCTTAAACATGTTCAAGTGCATTGTAGAGTCATGTAAAAAAACAAAACAAAACCCAGTAGTTCAACCCCTTTCCCTCTATATAATCGTTCATTTTACCTGATAGTTCACTGTTCATTGATGGTAACATTTCTAATAACTTTTGACTTCTGTAGTTCATCATAGTGAGCCCATGTAAAATGTCAATGTCTGGGTACATAGGCAATTGTTTGTTGCACTACCCTATTTAGTGTGCAATAGTTAAGTTAAGCTTTTACAGGACAGTCAGGGTGTGAACGTGAATGACTAAGCTGCTGGACACTTTTCTTTTTTTCTGGACTCTGGAATTTTAATGTCTCTGCTGGGGTGCTCAAAGCACCCTAAAGAAACTGGCAACACATTTTTTTCTGTTTGTTTGCTTTTTTACAGAAATTCACCCCACTGCCCATGACCTTCTGAAATATACTGAAAGCACTGTTGAAAAAAATAAATACGTTTTTACATAACATTCAGTTGTGCTTTGTTTTATTCTATATCTGTTTGAGTGTTTTTTCAAGTACGATAACAGCATACATTTTTCTTTATTAATATTGGTAAATTTTCAACTCACTGGAGTAAGAATTGTATGATTATTCAACAAGAATATCTGTGTTTGGTGAATTTAGGAATACATGGCCTTGGAGGGAATGATTGTATGTTAATTCAACAGGAATATCTTTGTTTGGTGAATGCAGAAATACATGGCATTGAAACCAGAATTTCTTTGTTAGACTTACAGGATTATCCTAATTAGGTGAACAAGTAGATCCAAGTTGGCAGAACATGAAAATATTAGTTAAGTCAACTACAGTTGGCAGAAGTTGAGAAAACTCAAAAATCTCTTGCATCATGTTGCCTTGAAATTTTAAGTTTTCTCAACTTTTTCTTTTTTACAGTGTGGGTTCAGTGTATCCTGGATGTCTGTTTGCTAGTTTCAACCTGAATCATTTCCATCTTTTATTTAAACATAAAACGTCGTTGGCTGTTTGCTGAACGTGACGAGTCCCAGAGATTCAAAGTGTTGTGTCGCATATTCTCACACGGTTGTTTGCACTGGAACAAATTGTCTGTGAATGATTCACTTCTGTGGGCGTTGGAGACCTTGTCCTTTATTGACTGGTTTGTTTTTATAGGGACCCCTGTCTCAGTCTCACTGGTACATCTCAAAAAAGGGAACGGGAGGAGCTCTGATGTCAGTCACTTGTGTCCTATGGTTACTCTCTGTTTGTGTCCATAAGCAGAGCCTGGCAGTCTCTTCCGCCACCTCAATAACAGCACACATGTTATATAAGCACACAAATGCCTGCACCTCAGTATGTGTGACAGCTGCTAACACCTCCAACCTTTCTCCTGCTGCCCAAAACGCCAGCAGCACTCCACACTCTCTTTTCACCCTGCTCTCTATTATTCATATTACCACACACTAAAGAGCCCTCCGAGGCATTCCTGAGCAGATTAGCTCTGCTATGTCAGACCCTGCTGCCTTTTTATAAATTAAACTACTGTAAGCACACCTCGGCCCCTCTAATATCTTTGCTCCTGTGACAGCCATGTTTCCAGGCTGCATAGGATTGAGGAAGACATAAAGACACGTGACTGAAGGTCTCTCCTGCAACTTCATGGTGGAAAAAGCACAGGGGTGCACTGTGATGGGGAGAAACTTTGATTAAAAAGACGCTTTGGCTTTCAGAATATTTCTCTTCCAAACTGTGTATCTCTACACTGATTTTTAAAAATGAATTCATCAGGTGAAAGATAAATTGAAATATAAAGAGGACATCATTGATGGGTTGGAAACAAGACCAAAGTTTGCAAAGGCGACCTTCACTATCTAAACCATTACACCTTGCAACTGTAAGTCAGCAACAACAAAATGAATTTTTGAAGGTCATTTATCAGACTGGCTTCCAGGTTAATATCTGAAAAGTTATATCTTTTCTTTGCTTTACCTCTAATATAATGGATAAAAAGAAAATAACTATCAAAACCATCAAAGCAGATTTAGGCAGCAAGTCTTAATTTGCATTAAGTTGAAACGTCTTTTTTCAGGTGTAAAATGTAAATAAAAACAAAATGCAATGATTGGCAAATAAACTGATCTGCAAGGCCAGTAACATTGTGGGGATGGAGCTGGACTCCCTTAAGGTGGTGTCGTAGAGGCGGATGTTGTCCAAGATAAGGACAATGTTGGATAATACCTCCCACCCACTCTATGACATGCTGGCTAGCCACAGGAGCACGTTCAGTGAGAGACTGAAAAGCACCACTGAACGACACAGGAAATCATTCCTGCCCGTGGCCTTTACAACTGTAAACACTGCAACAGTTACACCCTTTTTGCACACGCTCTTTTCTACTCAGTAATGTTGTTGTCAATATTCTAGATATATATTTATAATCACCTCTGTCAATCCTTGATATTTATTATTGAGTGGTTTGTATTGTTGTATTTGTACTGTGCTATTTCTTACATCTGTAAATCTGTAACATATTGTATTGTTAAATAGTCTAGCCTGTTTCTGTTACTGTTATTCATATTCATATAGGAGCACTTTTAAGTTTTTCCCCTGTCCCCATATTTGTTTACAGGTGTTGCTGCTCCATAAATCATATTTACTTAAACTGTATAGTCATTGATTGCTTTATCCTTTGTGAATATTTTGTTGTCCCGCTCCTTATTTTCTCATTGTATTCTGGGGGGTGTAGTGCATAGAGCTTATGTATATTTGTATAAGAAGAAACATTCAGTACCTCATAAAATACAAGGAAATAGCACACCAGGTTTTTCCTGAATTGGAAAAGCTTTCTAGTATAAACACTTATCTTTGTTTTTGGTTATGTTTAACCTAAAATCACATCGTTTCTTTGAAAACAGCATCTGTAGACTGCTACAGGTGCTCAAAAAGTAAACAGGAAGTGCTGTTATATACATTTCTGCAGAGGTATTGAACACAGCTTTGCTTTTCTTCCTGTTTTTCAGCTTTAAAGAAAGCGTAGTTCTGGTATACACTAGAAGCGAATACAAGGTTTGGTGCAAAGTCTGAAGCCCCCACAAAAGAAACTGAGGCATGAGAGTGGAAACACAATTCAAGTTAGTTTTATGCATGCTGAAAGAAAGAGTTCCAACATCTGCTGTGTTGCAGTGCCCTGGCAAACCCAGAGCTGCAGATAGTGACAGATAAAGTGACGACTGTATAATCACTAGTGTCTTTCAACCTAATCTTAAACATATGCAAAAATATCCACATCAATGCCGTTTCCCTCAGCATGTTTGCATGTTCACTTCAAGTCTCTGCATTAGACTAATAATTCATCAGAGACTTTGACATGCTAAGAGTATGAGCTCCAGAAAAAGAGGAAGCTCTAGTTTTATTGCACATGTGGAACACATCATTAGATGGACAGGGGATTCAAGATTTGTCTTTTTGCTCTTAAAAGTAAAACTGCCCTTTCAGCTGAGGCCTGCTGATGGACATGACTGGAAAAGCTCCTCATCGTGATCAGTGAAGGAAGTTGATTCCCCGATCTATATTTAAGAGGTGGAAGCAAATATCTTCATGCTTGCCGTTTTGTCTGTGTTTCAGCACGATGAGGGCGCTAACTGCGGGAACCTCGACTCCGATGTCGGTAAAGGCAGGTACCTGATGTTTCCTTACGCCACAGACGGGGCGCGTGAAAACAACGATAAATTCTCACCCTGCAGCATCAAACACGTTAGCAACATCCTGAAGCTGAAGAAAGATGACTGCTTCACGGGTGAGGAAGAAATATCAGTGTCCTGCATCCTGTTTACATTGTGCACTAGTTGCTGCAGCCTTCAGGCTATATCTGTATTTGTGTATCTGCTCATGTGTTTATCTGCTTGTCTGTTCATTTTGGGCAGTCAGTGATCAGCCCATCTGTGGAAACCAGATCATAGAGGAAGGTGAGGAGTGTGATGTCGGTAACAAAGATACAGATCTCTGCTGCTACAGTGCTAAAGAGCCTGTAGGAATCCAGTGTCACCTCAAGCCTGGTAAAATCTGCAGGTACTCCACATGTACACAACATCAAAGTGTGCGAAAATGATTTCCAAAACTGTAATTAGCTGTTCAGGTCTTTCTGAATATTTGTAGTTCAATCATGTATGGATTTGAGGTTAATAAATTTAAATATTCATCATCAGTCTTTCATCTAAACTATTTATATTCTAGTTTCGAGATGCGGCTTTGTTTAGTTTAGATGTAGCTCTCATGTGCAGCCATGTTTGTGGTGTTTTTTCTCTTCCATTCATCAGTCCAAGTCAGGGCCTGTGTTGTGGTCAGAAGTGCGAGTTTAAGCCAGAGGGTCAGAGGTGCGACGAGGAGACAGACTGCCAGAAAGCGAGTGTGTGCTCAGGACTCTCCCCGCTCTGCCCCAAGCCAGCTGCCAAGGAAAACCTCACTGTGTGCAGTCAGGGCACGCGTGTCTGCCTGAATGGGGTGAGGCGGGCACATCCACCACACCAGAGCGTTACTTAACACACTCCGTTACCCAATGAGGGAAAGTGTGCAAGTGTGCAGCAATGTTGCAAAGCATGTGAATCTTGACCTTGAAAGCAGCACATGGCAATAGACTTTCAGTATAAGGTTCATTTAGTAGCTTTTCCAGAGATTTCTTTTTCATCATGTCCACTCGCCAGACACCTTATAAGGTGAAGATGGGCACAGTGTGGTCATAAGGACATGGTCATAGT